TGAAAAATAGCAAACATATTCTTTTAAGAGAAAGACAGCACTTATTTGTCTGTATCTTAATGTCAAATGTTCAGTTTAAGTACTCATGGCCACTCTGAAATCCCCTATTCTTGACTTGATCCCAGCAGCTGATCAGTTATTGAAAACATATGTTTCAGAGCATTGGGAATCAGCTGGGCGGGCTGTAGTAAATTGCGCAGATTGATATCTCTCTGCTAGAGCTGTATGTAGCCAACTAGTCAGACACAAAAGACAGGAAAGCACTGGCTCATGCTGTGCACCGGTGTGCTCCACATCTGTTGTACTGGATGCAGAACCACTAGCTTTAGCTTTAGCTGACAGCAAAGGAAGGTGAATGACCATAACAGGATGCTAGCATGTCCTAGGATCTTAAAGAAAAGGATCTGAGCACAGGTTTGACATATTTTAGGGAAAATAAACACTGTTTTCAAGATATACAGAATATGTTGTTGATTGTTATTCAGCACTGCGTTTCTTAATTTTCAGTTCCTTTCCTCCTATGTCTTGTTCCCCGTTTTTCCGTCTCTCCATCCTCCCTCTGTTCTGAGCAGATGGTGCACCACCATGCAATCCTTTTTCTGATTTGCATTTGACTCATAGGGGACATGTACATCCACTGTTCTTGTGAGATTTCTCTTTCCTCTTTCTTCTTTCTTTCTGCAACCTATGTCTGTGTGCTAGTAATAACATTGTACATTAGTTCTATATATTTACTACTAATAATAATAACAATAAAATATTGATAATGTTTTCTGAGAATAGCTTAATATTCTTGAAAGCATCTTTGTACATAAAATATACCAAAAATATGTCATCATATTTTTGTTATTTGCAGCAGATGTGGTCATAGGTAATTCCTCACAAGCCTCTCAGTGTAAAAATAGATGTATCTTTATAGCAGAACTGCAGTTTGTCTTTGGTAATAGTTTTTCCTTTCCACAAATTTCTCCATGATGGAGATCCTAATGACATCCAGAAAGGAGTTCAGATAAATTTGTCAGTTTGAACCCAGATTTTTATTCTACACAAACGCTGTGATTACAAGGGCTTGGAAGATGGAAAAAGACTGGCACATCAAGCAGAACGTTATGTAACAGTAAATGAAATAGTGCAGAAGTTCCTTCTATCCTGTTCTAAAAAGAAAAACAATTGTCATGGGATAAACATCAGTACACATTTCCACCAGATGAAAAAAAAGAATTTCTTTTAGATATTTACATATACAACTTCCTTTTATATCATTGTTCAGAGCCTGATATGAATCATTCTACCAAATTGGTTCAAAGTCAGTGTTCAAAACACAGTTTGGACTTTTAACTGGTGTGGACTTCAGACTAAAATTCTTCAAGTGGCCCTATACCTTAATTATGTTTATTTTTATGAAAGGAAATTATTACACATGCATAACAATAATCAGAACATTTCCAAAACTTTATTAAATTATTTGGTAGACACAACGGTTTTGAGACTTTGAGCCCCATTACATCAAAACAATGGGATTTTACTGTTCACCATGTGGCTATGAGGGACAGGGAAACAGTCTCATTTCCTGCTCTAAAATGCAGGGGTGTGGCTAAAATAAGGCTCCGCCTATGGAGCCTATTTCTTTGTGTTTCAGTAGTGACATAAAATGTAGGACAGCATTTTTTAAATACAGTTTTTAATAAACTCATGATAAATCTAAATCCTTCAACTTCCCTTTAAAAATAAAAATATCTTGAAAAATTTGACCAAGAAAAATGAAAAAAAGTATTATGTTCACAAATTGAAATTTAGGGGTTAGGATGTGGGACAGTCATCTCTCAAAAGAAAGTACCTCAGAAATAATGATTTTGTATATATTTTGTATGTTTACTATCTCAATTAATGCCTTGGGTTAAAATAGATCATAAAATAATCATCATAAACATCTATGGTATAAATACTTTTTTTATGTGTTTATTTTTAGCCTTTGGAATCTAGTCATTCAGCATGACCAATAGGTTTGTTACGTATTTCATTACTTTGATTTGTAATATGTCACTTGAAAATAGTTTTTGGTAATATTTTAGTTGTAATTGGAATATTATTCCACGTAGCTTCTTTGGCTGAATGAATGGATGTCTTAAAGTCACACCTACATTTACAGGCAGCTTTCTCAGTTAGGCAAGTAGTGATGCTGTAGTGGAATTTGGGAAGGATGAAGTGTGTTTCAAACACAAGTCAGACATTTATTTCTCACAGAAATTACCTAAAATTACCTGAGGTGATTTATTGCCGATCTAACGGTTTATTTTTGGTGGAGCCTACCTTAGCTTGGCGTTGGCTGTGTTATCACCAGGGCAGGCATTTTGAAGCCTTTTGTTTTAACTGCACTATTGTCTGTGCAAATGAGGGATTGTAACGTTACCGCTCTGTGTGGGAGAGGGCCCGAGGTAGAATTATTCCTCAGAATAATTAGCATGGAGTGTTTTAATTACATTTGTCCACTGAAGGTGGCAATTACTGTCATGGATAGAAGCCAGTGAGTAATATATGGTGTGTCAGAAGAGATGAGTGATGGAGGTATGATCTTGATAAGCTGAGCATAAATCAGGACTTTACATGCAATTCAGATTAGGGATGTGCAAGGATATTCGAGTTCGACGTGCTAGTATTCGAATACTCAATTCACTGTTCGGGAGGGAGGGATAGAAATAGATGTAACACGTAAACAGACAAACAGTTCAGGTAAACTTAATTTAACAGGACTGTGAAAATGTGAGAGTTTTTCAAATAACTGTATCATACAGTAGCATTCACTGCTATAAGAAGAAGAGGCACTGCTTACGCACAGGTCATGGTGCTTTATTTCCTAGCTGTTGTCGCCCACAGCAACACTGTACATAAGGTTTTCACAACTGTTACACAAGTTTTTCCTCTAACAGCTCACTCTCTGACTAAGCTCACATCTGACTCAGCACACATAAACCCCCCAATCCCCACCCCCCCGGCAGTTCCTAGTCCTGCCCTCTGAAATAAGGATCCTTAAAAAAATAAATCCAGTGAATAAACATTCAAAAATTCTTGAACAAGCTACAATACATTGCTTCTACAAAACATGAGTGCCTTAACGTGAGCATGTTGCCAGGACACGTTGTTAAGGACATGACTGAGAAGGCAGTGAGAGTCGAATCACTGACTGCTCTAACTGATGTTAGCTAGGTCCAGAAACAGACAAAATACAGAGTTTCTCTGACAAGTTTTTTTTCCATGTAACTATATTATATTGTAGCATTCACCCCTATTAAAAGAAGAGGCACTGATTACATACAAGTCGTGGTGGTTTATTTCCCAGCTGTTGTCGGCCACAGCTACGCCGTACATAAGCAAAGTTTTTCCTTTAACAGTTCGCCCTCTGCCTCAACTCATGTCTGACTCTCTCAGCTCTTCCTACACACACTGAGACTGAGAAGACAGAGAGTGTTGGCTTTGGCACGGCTTTATCGCTAACTACTCCGGCTGATGTTAGCTAGGTCCAGAAACAGAGAAAATATTTTTCACGGACAAAGTAACATGTTGGCACATCATCCACCAACGTTCGGTACTGGTTAACTCATTAGCTCATCTGAAGAGGCAGCTATCCAACACAGAAAACTGCTGATTTCCCAGGTCTGTTTTTGAATAATAAAGCACTTTTTCAGATTTTAACCGTCCAGTGCTGTAATCTAAAAAGTAAATCTGCATCCCTACACTAATTTTGGCCAAAGTCAGTTTTTTTCCCTTTTTGCTATTGCTTTTTGATTCCCTGCGCATAACCAGATACCCATTTATTAACGCTTACAGATATTCAAATATCACAATTAGTTTTATCCCTTGGATACATCACTTGAAGTTCTCAGTACAGTTCAACGTCAAGTAATCGTTCCAACAAACCTGTTGTAATAATAATGTACCATCTGATACATGACACATACCTAGGTTCTTCACATGTCAGTGCATATTGTGGTTAGCCCTTTAGCTCGCACATAAAAGACTGTAACTCTCTGTGGCATTCGTTTTCTGATCTGCTGAAATCTGTTGGCAAGAAAACCATGGGCTCTATAACTTTGTACCCCTTCCAAAACTTTCTGAAGCTTGCTCTCTGTATTTTGTTCATTGTAATGACTGTATGTGTATGCGCATTTTGAGCTCCTCTGATATTTTAAAGAAATTCAATGTCATTTTCTGCTGCTTTGTGTTAAAGGCACCAGAAGATGAAATGCAACTTGAAGGCGCTCTGACAACTTTTTTTATTAAATTTATGGAGATATTTATTATTCACTGTTATTTTTGTTAGAAATTCAAAAGCTAAACATTTGGTAAATGACCTAGTAAATGTAGATAGTAATTATACTGTTACTAATTACGGTAATCAACTGTCATGCAGGTGAAGTGTAGAAAATGTATCACAGTGGTATTGATGTCAAATTCCTGGTGCTCACAGTAGTTCAGTTCCTTGTGCTAAGTGGTAGTAAGATTGTAACAGTCTTTTAACGGTCCCACTCCTCATTTCTAGCTCCTTTGTAATGTCAAGTGTATAATCTCCCATGTTTCTTTTCAGCCACTGCACTATCCGTCTTGCACATTGACAAGATAAGCAAGTTTTATAGACGTGTCTTGCATTAACGTTTGCAGCTGGATCACATGCACTCCATGACTGTAATGACTTGCCTTACAATGACATAGTTATTGTCATTGAGTTATACAACGCAATAACGGTATTAGACATGCACTATTATATAAAAACTGGATATTTAAGCATGGACGATAGAAGCTGATGTTAAAAAATGTTCATTCCATCATAATTCATGCATAATCTGTTAAGCTGTATATGTTCAATTTTATCATTACTTTTATTGATATTTCTTCCTGCATTTGTCTCTGTGTGTTTGTCTGTTTCTCTTTTTTTCATTCTCTCTCCTTCCCTACTGCTTCTCTCTCTCTCTTCCCCACCACTCCACATCCTGTTGGATCTATAGGCCAGATGGAGACTCCAACAAAGACAGGTCTGTACCCATTCTTTCAGCTCTCTTGTTCCTCATTTTCTCTCTTCTCTCGTCCTCCGCAGAGGGGATCTGCAGCCTTCACTTTACTGAATAAAGATATATGTAGCCCTGCATTGGTCCATGTTAAGATGGACTAGGTCATTACTCCTAGCAGTGTTGCAGTGGCTTATCTAGGTCAAAATGAATGCATAAGGGACATGCCATTGATTATAATGACTTATTACCTTTTTTCACTGGAGTGCCTTCATCTATACTAGAATAATGAGCGGTCTGGCACGTTAAAGGTCATGGATATTGAGAGATTCCGAGAACCTTGCGCCAGAAGCCTGAAAGACTAAGACTTACGTAACCTATCAAGACATCATCTAAACGTGTGCGTCATTTATGAGTCTCCCCATTAGCTGTTGCCGTAGTGATCAATGCCCTGTAAGAATGTGTGTATGTATTTGTATGGCCGAGGGCTATGTTTGCCCTTGCATTTTTGACATGACATATTAGTAATTATACAGCCTTGTGGTGGTGGGGGGTGGGGTTTGGATAAAATGGTAAGGAGCATCTGAGATGTTGCAAGGTTGGATGTTTTCTTAATTCTGTCCATGGTTAAGAAGCCAGTCATACCCTGGCGATAATCCCCCGGACTTCTAGAATCAGGTGTATGCAAGCCTTTTTTTTTTTTTTTGCAGTATGGCTCATCATTTTTTTGCGCACTAGCCTGGTGTGTAGTTAGTGCATGGGTTTTGTAAAAGAGTAAAATGGTTAGCGCCGGGCAGTTTTGCTCTGTAACATCTTTATGATGGTTCCTTTGGATGAAAATGAACCACGGATCTGAAGGATAAATGATGGGTTGTCATGGCAACGGCTGTAGATGAACCGCATTACTAAAAAAAAGAAAAAGTTGCACACATACCTCGTTCTCTTTCTGTCTCTCTCTCTCTTTCTGTGTCTCTCCCCCTGTGTGTGTGTGTGTCCGAGAGAAAGAGTGGGAGAGTGAGCGCACACACACAATCGTGTGTGAGTGAGTGTGTGTGTGTGTGTGTGTGTCTCTCATCCCTAGGACAACTTGTTTGCGCGCTACATTACTGCCTGCACTGCCATACATGGCAGAAGGACAAGGCTGGACCTCATAGTTACGGACAAGGACACAGTGATGTCACGCTTCAAAATAATTAGGCTCCCAATCTGTTTTCGCCCTTGCTTCACGTGTACTCGTGCTGGTATTGATATGCAAATTGAATTGTCCTCTTCCAGTTGTGCAGCGATAATATTTTGCAATAAATTGGACCGTCTTTCATGCTTCACCACTGCCATCCGAATTACACTTTGCGCTTGATTATTAACAAAGGAATGTAATAAAAGGTTGGCCATGATTAATGAAATCGCCTAAGTGATCTCATGCCGCTTCTTCCATCCAGCTATATTCCCTTCTTAACTGGAGGCAGAAGTGCGGAGGAGAGCCTGAGCGCACTTACTCGTTCCCCACTGGGCCGTGAGGGCGAAAAAATAGTTTAGGGCGGGGGGGCTTTACTGTGGGCCTGCCCCGAGCTTCCCTCTGCACACTGCAGCGCACAGGCACCTGCAGTCATCCCACCACAATGCATCATTCCTCTGCAGGCCCAGTCAGTGAAGTAGTGGAAGCAGAGATATACAGTATGTGGTTGTGTGAAAGTTGATTAGAGAGATCGAGAGGTGTAGATGCAGTTCAGTAGCTGTTACTGCATGATGTAACTGTAGATGTGATGTAAGGTTTAACCGATCAAGTTGAACCTTGTGTAGTCTACTTAAGAGAGGCACCACAATGATATTTCCAGGCCCTTAACGCTGGTTAACACCTTGTGACAGCTGATACCACACCGAAGGTAACACCAATAGCCAGTCAGTTCCCAGTGGTGTGATGGTGGCATTACTGTTTAATAAATCAAGTAGCTTTTCAGTAGTAAATCTGTTTTTCAGTTAAGTAGCAGCGTAGCACTGTCAAACACTGCATTATTAACTTTTTCCAGACTATATACAAATATTTTACTCAAAATAAGCAGTGTGTTCTGCATCATTTAGTTTAGGGATGCACTGATATGGAAATTCTGCGCCAATGGTGATATCTGCTGATGTATAAAATAACCTAAACATTCTTTTCTTCCAGACTATAATAAATACGTCATCAGTTATCAGTTAGAAATATCAGTAAAATCTATAGATCTATCAGATGCAAATATCTCCCGATACCGATTTGATTGTGATGTCATTGTGCATCCCTAGTTTAGTTGGTGTTGACTCTTTCTAATGATGCGTTCATATGGTTGCGCTGATAAAATGTAGTTCCACGCCTCCTAGTGGTAAGTCACGACAGTGGCATGAAGCCATGCAGACACTGGCATGGTGACAGTGTTTCTGACAAGAAGATATGATTATCAGAGAAGAGGTTTAGCACTGTTGATTGTTTATTTAAAGTGGGAAAAAGCAGGAAGGCTCTCTGTAATTTTTTATTTTTTTGTTTAGTACTGGGTTCTGAAACTCAACAACAAGATGTTTGGCATCCCAAAAAAATCAGCATCTGGTTTGTTTCACTGCTCTGGCCAATGGCAGAACTTGACAAAAACTGAACTCTTGATGAAATGTTCTGTAGACAGAATTTTCCATCGCAGCTCCATTGAAAACAATGGAATATCTGGTTTGCCATCGTCCATTTACCGCCAATATGTAAATGCAGCATAACCCATGCCCCTCTTGGTAACTGTTGCTACATCTGACAAGCTTTCAGCTTGTAACTATAGAGTAGTCAATGGAAAAGGTAGACGATTTGAAGTTTTTACAAGAAATGAATCCATATTTCAGGAGACAGAAATGTCTTTAGTGTGCATGTTAAGGAGACATGCCTAATATTGTGATCTCTCAACAGTCTCATAGCACTAAAAAGACAAAGATAGACACAAGAGCCAACAGATCACAGTTGAAAAAAAGTGAGAAGCCTCATCAAATAGTGATCCATCTGTATGACATGGGAATGGAAAAGCAGCAGCGTTCCTGTACTGCAGGAAAGGTAAATGCATTGCATGCATTTTAAATATAACATCTAGAACAAATCGTTGAACTGGCAGGTCATTATAATTTTCATGAAGTACCTTCAATTCAACAAGCTGCTTTTGCCATGTAGCTAGTAGTACAGCTAGCTGCATTTCTCTGTAGAATAGCTCTCATGAAGCAAAGCTATTTTTGTAGAGCGACTGGTAGCTTGGTACGTTATAACTAACTTGGCCAACATTGTTCATGCTATAATCCACAGATGAAGTGCAGTGGTTAAAACTCTGCTAAAAAATGCTAAATCAGGCATAACAATTATAGAGAACATGTACATTATGTAAAGTATTTTAGCATACACATTTGTCCAGAGCCAGAGTTGAAGAAGAAGGGAAATATCTACTACGATAGTAACTACTAAGCAGAACCGAGCTGAAGTATAGGGCGTTAAATTATCGGTTGTGATTATCAGCTGTAATTCCAACTTCAGATCCATAATAATAATTCAGTTTTCCTATTTGTGGCTGAATAATATGTCTGCCACCATTATATAGTGTGTGCCGCATTTTGATGAGTTGTATATGATTTTGTATGTTGTAACATACATACAGTGTATACATGTAATGTAGTCATATGCAAAAGTTTGGGTGCAATAGGTCAGATTACATATTTGATTTCTGAGTGAAAATGAGTACACATCCTCTACAGAGAACAAACTTCTGCACATTTTAATTCACAGTTACTGTTTAATTGCTGAATTTAACAAATTGAAAACTGCAAAATCCTGATTTGCCGTTAAATATCACAGGATGGGTTGAGATGACACGTACCTCATGTTTCCCATTCTTCAATCTTTCTGTTCTACAGGATGAAATTAGGATAGAGCTGATATTATAAGTGCTGAGGTAACTGGATTTACTAGGCCAGGGTCAGTGGCCCTGTGTGTCGTTATGTGATCAAATTGTTGAAGCCGCTATATGAAAAATGACCCTTCATATGGCTCATCAGTCTGACTTTTCTTCTCATTTGCTTCTAATCTGACGCAATGTGGATCCTCCTGTACCAGTGCTGTAGGATCAGAGAACTACAGTTTGGTGTCCTCCCTACTCGACTGTGCCTGATTCAGCTAATGAAAGGTCATTATCATGATCATTAGCTGCTGAGCTGGCAGGTGCGTCTGAGCAGGGAGGACACCAAAGTATGTAGTGCTGTGGTCGTGTGGCGCTGAAGAATACTGGGCTATGCATATTAGGGCTGTAGAAAAGAGTGGTTGTTAATTGCAGTATTGAATTTTGCATTAGTGATTTCGCAGAGGGCTGCAATACGAAGATGAGCTCTATAACAAATTACAGTTTTTCATTGTGTTATATGATCATCCAGGCCAATCTCAGACATTACAGTGAGATGCACTGATCATGAATTTTTATTGCCAAGTCTGAGTCTTGAGTTCCATGATTAATGGTTCCGGCCTATTTGTTCTGGCCATTTTTTTAATGTGAAGCTCAGACTCTTTTGGCTAAATGAACAAATGAAAGACTCCAGGTGTAACCATACGTTCAGCCTACGATTTGATTAAAGATACTGGGTTCAGCATCCACTATTCTCGTCATATTTTGAACAAAATCTGAACAAAGAGTTATGACTACAATCAACGCACTAATGACTGAAAGCGTTGCTGAAGTGAGTGCTGGAGTGAGTAGCTGATTGGTACTGATATTTTGCAAATTTGCGTTCAAACCATGCAGCATAAACAATAGATTGTCCTTTCTCAATGATGCATGTCACACCTCCATGATGCATAGTGTGCTACAATATTTTGGTACAGTTGTAGCAGCAGCATCAAATACAGTAATGTTATTAATTTCATAAAATAGCAACACCAGTGTACCAGGTCAAAATAATAAACTGGCTAATTGCATATTCCAGAACAAAAATCTCCAAATTTTGATCGTGCATCCCTAGCTGTGATGAACTGAGGAATGTGTTAA